CGAATAAATCAATCTTATGATTGGCCATTCGACGTCATTTTTAATATTTTCTAGTACTTTTGCGATACTGCCATAAGCCGGTCGCGCTTCTCTGATAATCTAGGACTCTAGAAAGCAGTAAGCACAATTGTAGAATATGTACCTATTTTGGTGAACATTTTGGAGAACAGTGGCGCACTCTAGGATTGTGCCAGTTTCGATTAGGTCAGGTTAGATTGTAAATTAACTCACGGCGTTGTCTCTCCATCGTCTCTTTAACACCGCTCCTTTTACAATGGAAATGTAAATACGAGACGTTTGCTTCATTATCATTTATTATTCCTTTGCTTACAATAGAAGGAGCATTAACCCCTCGAGAACAGTGACAAGGGCGAAAGATTCGAGAATGGGCGATATAAAATCCTTTTTTCACCAGTGGTGTGCGAAAAACGGCAAAGAGCCGCAATTTGACGTTAGGCCAACAGGTACAAACAATATTTGTCGTTTACACTTGGCTACGTTCGGATTTCCCGTCTGGGTGCACCCGGGTATCATTCTATCCTTTGTTTAACATTCGAACAACATTCGTGAACAGCAAGGATAAAATGATATCTGGGTGCACCCAGGTGGGAATCTGAACGCAGCACTTCGTTCAAGTTCGACGGAACGTCGGGGTTCTATGGATTTTTTTACATTTCGCAGGACCAAAGCACAGGCAGCGCTTCCTCTGCGAGCTGCGAGTACCCGGCTTCGACTACGTCGGGGCGGGGAACTCGACCAACAAGAAGGACGCGCAGGGGAACGCCGCGAAGGATTACGTTAACTACTTGGTGCGTACGAATCGCGTGAATCCGGGCGACGTGCCGAAGGACACCTCGGCGCCGCCGGCGATGGCGCCAGACAGCGCTGTTAAGAACGACGTCCCGATGCCGGCGATGAGATCGGTGTTCCAAGGCGGCATGGGGCCGAACGACATCGGCCAGGCGTACAGGCCGTACAACGAGCGCGGCCAGAGTAATTACACGTACATGGACAGGTTGGCCGATCAGAAGAGAGTGGAAGACGCGGAGGATGTCGACGTGAACTCCGGGATACACGGCAATTGGACGATAGAAAACGCCAAGTCCAAGCTCCATCAGTTTATGCAAACTAACAAAATTAATGCCGATTACAAATATACTCCGGTCGGTCCGGATCACACGAGGTATGGAGTCCTGCGAATGGGGGTTTTTTCCTAGCACATTGGATTGGCATTGCAATGCAGTATATATATGTATAGTTCGATTTACATGCGATTTGTCGATTCTTTGAACAATCGCTCGCCGATTGTACCATTTGAGATTTAACAGGGCCATTTTGGAGTATATTGCTTGCTCATGTCTAAAACTGGTGCAAGAGAGCTCGTCGTCGGCTCTCTTGTGCACAAATGATGATGGCGTTAAACCAAAACTTTTATTAAAATGATTTAATAATAGTTTTGGTGCAACTACACAAAGAAACTTTCTTCAATGTACTCCAATGTGGTCATCTGTGACATCTTCAAATGGTAAGTCGTTATCATTCATTATAATTAATTGAGGGAATAAGTGGAAAATTATTTACCTTTGAGATAGACGCTTATTCCAAGAAACAAATAAATTTATTTATATGCCATCGCTTCAACAAATTTTCTAAGAAATTACAGCAAAATATCATTAGCTTGTAATTTTTCAATAAAGAAAATTAATATACAAGAATTATTTTTTAGTTTGCATCAATTCCGTTTTGTTTTCTATTTACAATTATAAATATTCTATTCGCGATTATTTAAAATATCTTTTTATACTCTTCTTCAAATTGTATTATTTGTATATTTCTTTCACATTGTTCCCTTGATTATTAATTGCATTAATAATATACACTTTATAATGTCTATAATAGAAATAACTTTTTACAGGAGTTTTATGGCAGAAATGACACTTTATATTAAGCAACTTGGACGAAGTATGTTAATTTCTATTTATTTAAATATATCTAATTATATTAGTAAGAATGTAATAATTCTCTAATATCTTAATGTCTTAATACTTCAGGTATAACTGGCCGCGAAACTGGATCAAACAAACAAACAGCTTCAAAGAGTTGTGCTTTATCTATTGTTCGCCAACTGTATCATCTAGGTGTAATTGAAGCATTTAGTGGTACATTAAAAAAAAATAAGGACGCTGAGCAAATGAAACCTTATCCTGTCAAAATTTCGCCAGAACTGGAGACTCAGATTCACGATGTTCTAATGAGCTTGGAAATAAAGCCAATTGATATTCAGGTACTGTTCATTTTGGTATCCCATTTTACATGTGGATGGATGTATGAAAATGTCTAATTAAATTTATAACTAAAAATAAAATATTTCAAATATAGCCATTTTTTGTAAAAGAAGAAAACACATCTGCAATAAAAGATCAAAATGGTCCATCAACTACTGGCGTATCTTTGTTGACAAATCAAGTTTTGGATGATTTCATATCTTCTGTACCGCAACCCGCCGGTGTCGTAAGCTGGTCTCCACCTCAGCCAAATTGGAATCCATGGACGGGATGCAATATAGATGAAGGACCATTGGCGACAACGTCTCTGGATCGGCTGTCAGAAGATTTGATGAACGAACAGCGTGACAAGCTGCAGCAAGATTCCAGTTTGCAAGCGAGCATCAAGGACAGATCGAGTCTGCCCGTTTTTACCAAGAAAAACGAGATCATGAATGCGGTTAATGAAAATCCGATTATTATCATACGCGGTAACACGGGCTGCGGTAAAACCACGCAGGTTTGCCAATTCATTCTGGACGATTATATCGCATCCGGCCAAGGTGCGTACTGCAGCATAGTTGTCACACAGCCCAGAAGAATCTCGGCCGTGTCCGTGGCCGATCGTGTTGCTATCGAGAGATGCGAGACTCTGGGACAGTCGATCGGATATTCCGTGAGATTTGAATCGTACTTGCCGAGGCCCTACGCCAGCATAATGTTTTGTACTGTCGGTGTGCTCTTGAGAAAGCTCGAGGGCGGCCTTAGGGGCGTGTCACACGTTATCGTCGACGAAATTCACGAGCGAGATGTCAATTCGGACTTTATCATGGTGGTACTCAGAGACATGATCCACCTTTATCCCGATCTCAGGATTATCCTCATGTCGGCCACAATCGACACGACGTTGTTCAGCGAGTACTTCAACAACTGTCCCGTGGTGGAGATCCCCGGCAGAGCGTATCCCGTCCAGCAATATTTCCTGGAGGATTGTATACAGTTGACGAATTTCGTTCCGCCTACAAGTTCTGGGAAACGCAAATCCAAGGATTCGGACGAGTTTCCGATGACGGATGGAGAGCCGGAAGAAAATCTAAACAAAGTCATCGGCAATAATTACTCTATCGAAACGAAAAACGCTATGGCGCAGTTAACGGAGAAAGAGATAAGCTTCGAGTTAATAGAGGCGCTACTTATGTACGTAAAAAATCAGGAGATCCCGGGTGCTGTGCTGATCTTCCTTCCCGGTTGGAATTTGATATTCGCCTTGATGAAACATCTTCAGCAACATCCTGTCTTTGGCGGAGGGTCTTATCTGATTATTCCGCTACACTCGCAATTACCGAGAGAAGATCAACGTAAAGTCTTTGATCCCGTACCATCATTTGTGACGAAGATTATCTTGTCCACAAATATTGCAGAAACTTCGATCACGATCAACGATGTCGTCTACGTCATAGATTCTTGCAAAGCCAAGATGAAGCTGTTCACCTCGCATAATAATATGACTAATTACGCGACCGTTTGGGCCAGTAAAACGAATCTGGAACAACGCAAGGGTAGAGCGGGCCGCGTTAGACCCGGCTTCTGTTTCCATCTGTGCTCGAAAGCTCGATTCAACAGGATGGACGAGCACATGACGCCGGAAATGTTCAGGACGCCTCTGCACGAGCTGGCGTTGAGCATCAAGTTGTTAAGATTAGGCAATATCGGCCAATTCTTGTCGAAGGCGATCGAGCCGCCTCCCATTGACGCCGTGATCGAAGCGGAAGTCGTGTTAAGAGGTATGTGCCTTTTATCTTTATCTTTCCTCAGAGTCAATTAATTTATAAAACTTTTCATCACGCAGAAATGAAGTGCTTGGATAAAAACGACGAATTAACGCCTCTCGGCAAGATTCTGGCGCGTTTACCTATAGAGCCGCGGCTGGGAAAAATGATGATCCTAGGCTGCATGTTCCGCGTTGGCGACGCGCTCTCGACGATGGCCGCGAACAGCACCACTTTCCCGGAGGTGTACAACATGGGCCCGGACGTGAGAAGGTTGACCACTCAGCAAAAGTGGTTCGCCGGTGCCAGATTTAGCGACCACGTCGCGATGTTCCACGCTTTTCAAGCGTGGGAGGAAGCGAGAGCTAACGGCGAATGGGCAGAACAGACGTTCTGCGACTCGAAAAGCCTGAGTCTACCGACTTTGCGAATCACCTGGGAAGCTAAGGTCAGCAGAATCGCACATTGTCGCTGTCGTACATTCCATACACTCGCGATAATGGACTTCCGTTATTCCGTATGTGCAGAATCAGCTGCAAGCGCTATTGCAGAGCGCCGGTTTTCCCGAGGAGACTCTGTGCCCCACCCCGTTAAATTATCAAGCGAGCGCGGACCCGCGTCTCGATACCATCACCGCGCTACTGTGCATGGGCCTGTACCCCAATGTGTGCTATCACAAGGAGAAGCGGAAGGTTCTCACTACGGAATCGAAGGCCGCGCTGATTCACAAGACGTCGGTGAATTGCAGTAACTTCGAGCAGAACTTTCCGTTCCCGTTCTTCGTGTTCGGTGAAAAGGTAAAATCCTATCTGTGAACATTCTCTCTCTCTCTCTCTCTCTCTCTCTCTCTCTCTCTCTCTCTCGAATCCCGATAACCTTTTCTATCTTATTTCGTTAGATTCGCACGAGAGCCGTGTCTTGCAAACAGATGACCATGGTGTCTCCTATACATCTGTTGCTGTTTGGATCGCGGAAGGTAGAATATGTGGACGACGTGATTAGATTAGACAACTGGATCAACTTAGACATGAATCCGCAACACGCAGCGGCTATAGTTGCTTTGCGACCCGCTCTAGAGAGTCTCGTGGTTCGGGCATCCAAGGATCCGGAAACGAGCTTAGAATTGAGTCCAACCGAAGAAAAGGTATAAATCGAACTTGAAATTTATATTATATATTAGGTCGCAAAAGATTTGTCTATATTAAATTTTTCTATTAAATTTTGTATTAAAACTTCTGGCCACTCATCACTACTATCTCAGATCAGAATCACGAAAAACGAGAAGCAAAAATAACAATTCTGACTTGATACATTAAAATGGAAACAAACCAACACTTGCACTCAATCAAAAACACTTAAAAAATTTACTGAAAATTCCTTTTATTTCGTTGGTAAATAATTATATATTTGAAATTTTTAATTGTGCTGATAAAGAAATGGGCCTCAATTTACAAACCAATATCGATTGTCCAGGAGCCTAGATCATGCACGTACCTCGTTTCTTAATAATTTATAAACACGGCGTTGCAATAGTAGTGGTGAGTGGCCAGGAGCCAGAGTTATAAAATATTTTAAAAATCTATAAATAAATAAATTACCAGCTTGTTATTGTAAACAATTACAAGCATATCAAGTATATCAGGATAAAAGGCCAAAGACGAGCGAAATACAGGTGTCAATTAATATTCAATATAATTATGTGATTTTACATACTCCAGCTTCAACGAACTGCGTGCCGTTACTTTCGGATCCAACGCAGCTTTGATTGAAACAGAACCGTATCATCACGCTGTTAAACAATTTAATGAGTACTGATGCTCACTTGCATCTAATAAATCAACCCTCCCCCCCCA